AGGTTTACACATAGCGCTACTGAAGGTGGGGGTGGAAATCATAAAAAATTCTTTGGTTCGACGTGAGAAGGACTAAGGACCTCGGTCCCCTCGGAAAAAGAAGAAATAATTTAACATCGTATACACAATTTGATCAAGAATAAAATATTCTTTACTCAATGAACAAAAATTTTTTAAAAATTAACAAACAAACAATAAAGAGTCAACAATGAAACTATAAGTGTCACATAATTAATAAATGCTTTTAATAAAATTTAAAAAAAAAAACTTGGGAAATAAAATGAAAATTTTTTACCTGAACATCTTTTTTTTTTCATTTTCCTCATAAATATATCTACATATAAAATGTTGCAATGAAATTGAAATTTTTATAGAAACTCAAAGTAGAAAAGTTTTTCTATTATAAAAGTAGGAAAAAATTGTCTCTAATTAACATGTAGGAGTAGGCAATACTTTTTTTTTGTTTATTTATTTTTTATTACTCAAAAGTTTTCTTAAAATTCACATAAGTCTTTTAATTCTCGTTTTTTTTATTAAATCTTTTTATATCGTTATTAAAAAACTTTATTAATTCATACATATATTTTTTTGTACATATCCTCTTAAATCACTTTATGTATAAAAACGAAGATAATGACAGCAACAAAAGAGGGAATATGTTTAAAGCACTTTTTTTCATCATATCGTCATGTATTCTTTTCTTAATTGGTTTAATTTGCAGTAAAACTAAATTATATCCTTTTATCTGTTGTTATTGTTTTTGCTTTTTTTCACCTACGGTACATCATTATTCTCATTAAAACGAGCTCACCTTCTTAATTTTTTTCGTTGTATGTACAACATGACTCTTTTACTTTGTGTATATGCACTGACATTTGCGTGTGCTTTGTTGAATGACTTGTCATGTTAGATGCAGGAAGGATATGTGTAAAACATAGAACATATGTTTTATGACATTTTTAAAGGAATTTATTTAAATCTCATCAAAAACAATGAAAAAATCAGTTTTAGATAACTTCTAATAAGCGTTATAATATTTTTGCTTATAACCTATATAATAATAATAATAATAATATGAAGAAGAGTATGTACAAGGTCAAAAATGTTTCTACGAAAAAAAAACACAAAAAATAGCAAAACAAAAAAAAAATTACAGAGTACAAGGATTATTAAAATATTTTATAAAATTTTTCTATTTTACTTCTTCTTTCTCTTTATTTTTATTTGTTTTTATATTGAGTTGAAGTACATACATATGAGATGTGGCCCATATATTGTAAACACATACTTCCACTTTACTATACTTGCATACCTTAAAACAGTTCATCATCAATCATCAATATCACTTTCACCATATGTATATTGCATATGGGATGATGAAAATTTTAATAAATTGATATTTTACACATATATGTACGTACACACATACATGTATGTGTGTATACAACCACACCTTCATGTTAAAATTGTATAGACTGTAGGAAAATAATTTTTTTTTATTTTCTTTTATTCTCTTTCTCTGTTTACATACATTTTTAGTGCCATTATCACGTGTATCGAAAGCCTTAAAAACACGTGAAATTTCGAAATTCCATTCAACCACTTCACATATTTATTATAATATAACATGAGAGACATATTATTGTTCTTGAATTTTAGGTTGGTAGGTGAGTATAGTGAGTATATATGCATATATAGTATTTTATCTACAATAGTATGTGCATAATGGTAAGAACAATATAACCATTCATGCAATACTTAACACTATTCTTTGTAAATTTAATTCATCACTCTGATATTACGAAGGTTTTTTGTTTTTGTGTAGTTTCTCCTGTTCTTTTATAATATTACATTATATATAATTTTGTTTCTCTTTTTTATATTTGTCACTTGTCAGATAATGATATGGTATCCCCATATAATATATTTTGTATATGCAAAATAAGGATTTGGTCGGCTATATGTTTTGTATACACTTATGAATAACATAGACTGTACATTTAATTTTTATGTAACTTACAAAAAAAAAAGCAAATTTGTCAACAAAAATTACATTTAGTCACGAAATAGTAAAATTTTCATTTAGCTTGACAGAAGAAAATTTTTTTTTGGTAAATTTTCATAAAAAAAAATTTGTTTTTTTTTTCTGAATTTTAAAAAATTTTTTTAAAAAATTTTCGTTTTTGACGCAATTAAATAAATAAAAAAATTTTCCCCTCAAAAATCCTTGGAATTTGGAAAATTCTTTTGAAATGGGTTCTTATGAAAAAAGTAGTAAGGCACTACAAGATTGAAATGTACATGACTAAGTTGAAGACCTTGATACTATATAGACGATTTAAGAAATGTACACGAAAATTAATAATTACACTCATTTATTAAAATTGTCATTACTTTTATTACCAAGTAGAAGCCCCAAACTCTAAAAGAATGATGTGTCAAAAATTCTATTAGGCAAGATAATTTTTCTTCAAACTAAATTGCGCTTTATTTTACATTTACTCAATGAAACTCAAATGAAATTTCTCATTCATCAAACCTTTTATAGTAATGGAGATATATAAAAATATCCTACACTTAAAAGACCGAAATTCAGAAAAGTACCCCAGTTTATAATCTTAGAAATTTTAGAATTCAACAAATTTGAATAAAATTTCTGAAAACTGCAATAATAAAAATAAATTAATCAATATAACTTTGAAGCTTGTACGATATAGGTGTGATCTGTGAAAAAATGGAGTGGTTAAGCAGCTTCAAGGATAATTTGTAAGAAATTAATCATTTATTGACTAAGAATTCGGTACCTCCCGTACACATTACATACTATAAACTCACCTGTGATCATTTTCTCACGTACAACTAATTGAGTTTTCTATTATTATAGTTGCTGTATAGAAGAATTTATTTGTTACTAAATATTAAAACTATAGAAATCAATAAGGTTCGTCTTCAACTTTTGAAACCAAAACAAAACCTAATAAAACCCCAAAAAAAAAAAAAAAACAAAAATTACAAATTTAAAAAATAAATTTTCACTTTAAATAAAGTGAACAAAAAGTAATCAAATTTTATTTAATTTAAATTCAAGTTGCATTTGAAATTTTTTTTATTACGCGAAATGAATGTTCAATGACTAAAAAAGAGATAAAATCAAAAAAACAAAACGTCAATTGAACTCCGGAATATCTAATTTAAATTATATGTAAAGAATAATGACACTTTTTAAATAAAACTTTTAAATTTTGCCGGGAAAGTGTTTAGTTTTTTTTTTTTTTATGTCATGATAGTATTTAATGAATAACAATAATTGTGTCTTGTAGGTAAAATTTCATTATTTTTGTTTTAATATTTCATAAAATAACTTGCATACTCTACGCAACACATGTCAACTCACTCTTTTATAATTTATATGTATATTATATATATAAAGATTTCGTTTTAGAATTGGTTATTTAAAGATTTTATGCCTGAACATATTCGTCTGCAGTGGCAAAAACTATTGCAATATATTGCCGACCAATCTTATTATTAAACATAGATGTTATTATAGAAACCCCACTATTATTTACTTGGTAAAGTAGATTAAAAAAATTTGAAATATAAATTGTAATTTTAGCTATTTCAACATTAAATAAGCACATTTTTTCAAAATTTTTTTGGAAAAGTGCTAAAAACCATATTCGAAAAATAATTCACGATATCATAATTCACGTGCTCCTAAATATATGCTATTTTTCACTCTTTTTACAATATGAATTTTCTTTATGTTCCAATTCTTGCACATTTATTACATTTGTTTTGCAAAATGGATGACCTTCGTATTGAGGTAATTTTATATTTTTTGTTATTTTTTCATATGCAAATCAAAATAATTTAAAATTTTTTCTTATAGTTTTGGTAAGAGAACTGTAAATTCCCAGAATATCTTGGAATAGTATGACACTTTACGTATTTGTATTACATATGGTATTCCTACACATATTTCTGTCGTAGTAATTATGTAACCTATAATTACCCTAATTTCACTTTTCTTCTGTTCAAATAACCAATGTTATTACAGTTAATTTTAACTTCCAACATGTTATTATAATTGTTATCTACTAACTTATTAACTAAATGCTGATTGTTAATTAGATTCTTTTAATAATGAATTAAAAGTAAATTTTTACATAACTTGCAATTTAATAAAAACAAACTCAAAATATATAAATGCTTTTTCTCAATATACGATAGTGTAACAAAAGTTTAATTTTGAAAGGTTAATCTTAAATGTAGTATTGTATGTTTTTTTCATATTCCAAACTTAATCTTTAGAGCTAATTCTATATCGTTATCACCACTTATCTTTTATCATACAAGTTCAGCACTAAACATATAATCACTCAAATTAAAATTCAAATAAATTTTTTAGTATATTCTCATTATTTCCCTTATTTTAAAAACAAAAAACATCAACCTCGTTTTCATACACAACCACATACACATATTTTAATTTTACAGTTATGTAAAATATTCGGTATCTCATCTACTGTCGCACATTTTAGTTTAACAACGTGCTTTTTCTAATAAAAACATGACTCGTTTATATACTGAAATATAATAATACACTTATACATTTACATTCGAATAGAATTTTCATATAAGCATAGATAGAATAATATTACATTTTCACTCAAAAATTTTTCACTCAAAATCAGTTGAGAAAACAACGTTATATCATATATCAATTTTAGAATACCAAAAAAAAATGAAAATCAAAAGAAAATCTTTAGAATTTCATTTTCATTTCGCAAATATTAAATAAATAAATGTACATATATGTATGTACATAGACTTGCATATAATATATATGTATTTATGTGTATACATACAACGCACAAATAAAATAGAAGAAGAAAATAAATCATAATGTACGGGAATGGTTAGTTGGTTAGTAGAGTTGAAAGAAAATCACATAGTATAAAAAAACATTTATTTCTTTTTTTTCAGTTGCAGTTGAAACTTTGAAGCGTAAAGTTTAGTTCGATATTGGCGCCATCGTTCTTAATATAGAGAAATAAAAATACCGCATTTTGGTTTATAACTTACAGTTATATACGCGCGCTTTTTCTTTGTTTTTTGTTCTTTTTTGTATTTTGGTAAAACAAAAAAAAATAAAATTATTTTGTAAAATATTTTGGTTTTTGTTTTTTCACATTTTTTTATTTTATTTTTAAAATATTTTGGGAGGGAGAAATGTAATTAATTAAACGTTTCAGTTGAAATATTTCTAAAAATTTAATATTTCTTGTGTTTTATTAAGTTTTAAAAGTACCATCATATATATGTATACTTAAATTTGTATAAATATAAATATCCTCATATGTGTATGTATTACAATAAATTAAATTAAAACAATAAATTTTATAAATTTATTAACAAATAATTTACGAAAATGTGAAGAAAATTACTTAAATTTTTAAAATAATAAAATTATGAAAGAGTGCCAATGTAAATTTCAAAAAAAAAAAAAACATTAAAGAAGAGAAATATTAGAATTTTAAGAATTTTTTTTTTTAAATTTTAATTCCATGTATATTATGTATATAGAAACGAAGTGTTTAAAATAAGCTGAACAAAAAAAAGAGAAAACGAATAAAATCAGCTGATTTATAATTAATTAATTTGAAAACTTATTAAGTTTTGTTTTCGTTAAAAGAAAATAAATTAAATAAAAATTAAATAAAATGTTTAAAATATTGATATTAAAAAATAAATTGAAAAAGAATCTTGAAATAATGTAAATTTTAAATAATTAAAAATTTAAATTGAAATTTTTTAAATCACTTTTTAAATGAAGGCTACTGTAAGTTATAAGATTAAATAGAACTTTTCACTTGTGTTTTGTAGTCCAATTATTTATTTTTCGGTTTCAATTAAATGAAAATGTTCTTGCAAGTTTTCTATTTGCAAAAATATAATTTTGTGTATGTTTTAAAAAATCCGATGAAAACGCTCGTTAGTAGGCTGAACTCCAAAATTTCTTTCGAATGTAGAATGCGGTGGTCAAATGTGATTTTTCTAAGAATTGTTAGCAAAGAAATTCGATTCAATCCTTGGCTTTTATTATAACAGTTTTCTAATTAGATTGTTGTCAAATTTTAAAAATCTGCCAATATTAATTATTGTCTTATATTTAGGATATTTTTTCAAAAATTAGGTTAAAATCGTTCTTTTGTTGAACAAAAACAAAAAAAATCAATCCAAATAAGGAAAGAAGTTTTATTTCAATTAATTATTTAAAAATATTCATTGGTTTTTTATTTATTATTCTACAAATTTCGAACAATACTGATGTGTATAACTATATATATGTACTAATATGTAAGTACTAATATGGAACTATATATATATAATTTAAAAAAAATTAATATGGGACAAAGAGATCATGAAAACGTTGTATGTCATTTACAAATCATGCAATCTTTGTGAATTTGAAAAATTAATTGCAAAGTAAATTTTTTTGAACAATTTTAAATACTCGAATTTAAACGATTTTAAAATGCTCGGATCTTTATTTGTAAAAGATAAAATCAAAGTTAAAATTTTTTTTTTCTTTAATCAAAAAAAAAACAAAATTCACAATCTCCCTACGTTGTAAGGGAAAGTGTAAGTTGTAATTTGACATTTGCTCTTTTTAATCAAAATTAAGTCATTAATAAGATTTTTTTTTGTGGCAAACTTGATCTTAGTAAAAATTTCATTTTCATTTCGGAAGATTGTATTACGGGATGACTATGTACTGCGATCATCGAGGATCAGTTGTGACCATCTACTGAGTTTCTGTTCCGAAAGAACACAGTTTCTTTACGGTAAAATACGTAATTACAAAAAGTTTACTGTACAATAAGTAAATACAACACTCTGCTAGAACAGTGCTAAGATCTTACTTTAAGACACACATTTTTACAATAAATTTTATTTGCTAAAACTTGCGCAATTTCATTTCTGAGTTACTTTAGTTGTTGATAATAAATCACTTTCTAATTATCTAATTATCGTATAGGAATTTTTTGGAAAATCTCATAATAATGAACCATTATTTTCAATATTGCTTTTCGTTTCCCTCGAATTCAGTAAGAATTAACTTTTTGATTAACTTAAATAACTAAATAAATATCATTTGCAGAACTAGTTTTGTCCAATAACTAAATTAAAATTAATTATTAAATTAACAGATAATCAAAAAAGAATTTTACAACTTCAACTTTTGTGACCACATATATACATATGTCTATAAAACTTTATGCACCCAATTTAAATATTTTTCAAGGTTTCACTACATTATTAATTTGAAAAACATATACATATGTAAATACAAAAATATCACACATGGGAAATGTCCACTTAATATTGAATAAATGAAAATATAAAAATTTAAAAACAAAAAATGAATTTTTATGAATGGACCATTTTTTACGTTAATAATGAAAATAAATTATAATTATGCGATTAGGTGTTTTTATTTTGTAAAATAAAAGTGTATAGTAATTTAATAATGAATTTAATAATCATTGTTTTAATTGCTGTTCTTCAAAATTCCAAAAATTATAATTATTGAATGAAATATGAGAATTGCATATTACAGAAATTGAGAATGTATGTGCGTCTCATATAAATTTACATCACTGAAAAATATTTTATAAAATTGACCAAACGTTAAGAATTGGAACAGTTACTAAATAAATTCTATCATAATAGCTGCAAAGAAATTTAAAACATTAATAGATAAGCTAATAATTTATTACACATTAATAAAAAATTTACATGGCAGCGGTATCCAGATTATTTAAAACAATAGCTGATTACATTATAACAAAAAAATTATGGTACTGCTAAAATATGTGTATTTTTTGTGTGGTACGACAGCAAAAAATACCTACATACATATATCGTCGTATCACTCAACATTTCACGTTCACAAATCATAACTTGATAAATGGATGCGTAATTACTCAAATTACTGTTCAATTGTCTCTTTTAGATTTCATTGTCTTCATATATATTATTATTATGTAGATTTCACTCACTCAAAAGATAAGATTAATCTGGCACTTAAGAAAAATTAATTGAAAATACTTACATACTTAATGTAATTCATATATCACGTCTGCAGAAAATTGTATTGTATTCCAAAAATAGAGATAAATTCGAGCTAATAAGTTAAATATACAAAAAATAAAACATAGCAGCAGATTAAAGAATCATGAAATGTTCATGAGCAGTATAGGTTTAAAAGCTGGTTATAAGTTTAAGTGGTGTTTTCTTGAAATGACTTCCTCAAAATTTAGATAAGAAAAACATGGCAAAAATAGTGACAAAATTGAAATTATGGTACCTATAACAAATTAAAAAATAATAACAAACTTTACAAAAACAATGTAAAATGGGTTACAAAAACAAACAAACACAAAATTTCTACTCACTTCAACAAAATTAAAAAATATGGCAACCTTTATCTTGACATTGATTCAAAGTCAAAAAATTATTCCCTGTCTTTCCTCTTTCTTTAGTGAATATTAGAATAGAACTTTGAAAATGTCGCTTTTAATTGTCAATATCTCCATCTTAGCCTCCCTTAATTTATATGAGAGTAGATAATAGCATATTCCTTAAAAATTTTTTAATAATTATTATTAAAGGTACAGCAAAGTTGTGGCATTTTATAAAATTACTAAACATTTTGAAGTTTTATTCAAATTTTTTACAAACAATATCAAAAATTTTCTTTCTTAAAGTTTATAAAACGTGTTCTTTTGTTAGCCAATAACTTTTATTCTCTTAAAAAATCTTGTTTTTATTTTTAATTTACAAACTTTCATTTTTCGTTTATTTAAAGAATAAAGAAGACACTCGATATGACATTGTGTTCTATGTGTGCACGTTAATAATAGTCGTGATGAAAACAATTTAAGTTTGAAATTACCTTTACACATTCCACATACATACGTTTATATATACACACTATAAGTGCGACATTATGCACGTACGTAAAAAGTAACACATAACAAAAAAAAACAACATGTTTAATTTTGAAGGTGTTCTTTTAAAAAGAACAAAAAGCGAACATTTTGTTGTTTTTTAAATAAACGCTTTAAAAAGTACTTTAATCTTGTTTCTCTTTTTTGGATGTTTTTTTTATTTTACTGTTCTTTTATTCTCAATATTATACTTAACATTCGTTCGTTCATAGAATGTACTTAAACGTATGTTTGTATATGAAAATATTGTCAAGTTCAACAATAATAGAATGACAAGAAACAGAAAACAAAAATGTTTATATTTTAAGAATGTCACATCGTTAATCTTGTTAAAATTTACTTCTCATACATAATAATTAAGCGTTAATTTATATAAGTTGTTACGGAAGTTTTTAATAAAAAAAAAACAGAAATAAATGAATAAAGAAAATCAGCAAGTAAAGATCTAGATTGGAATCGTTCGAACTTTTATATATGTATGTATGTATATAGTAAAACATGGTAGGTGTAAATCAACATTTTAAATTGGAACACACAATAATCACTTCACTCGTACACTTCAAGTACACCAACATTGTACAAAATTGGCAAGTAACTTATACAAGCATGGCGCAGTGATTTAAAGCTATTTTTATGGCAACTACTATGTATAAGTAAATAATAAATAGTAAACCACGATAGTATCAATAATTTTTACAATATAGGTTGACCCCATTTTAATGGACAATAGAAAAAATGAATGAGATAATTATGCTATTTTAATAATCGAAATCTTTTAATTAGTGTATGTTACTTACTGCTGTAACTTATACATAATCACTGTTTCCGAATATTTATCTAGAATACTTACATATGTAGTTAATTTTAGAATAAATTCTTTAAAACGGGAATAATAAATGAATTGAAATTTTAACCATTTTTCTTTAATCATTATTTTAATAATTAAATACTGTGTAAGACTGTTAAGTTATTTAAAAATTACTCAGTATTGAATAATTCGTGCTAATGTGACTATTATTCTCAATAGAAACAGTCAGAAAACTAAATTTACCAAAAGGCATTAAAAAATGGTTATGTTTTCAATAAAAATTCAATTACCAATTTGTATACTTAAATGTGTACATTCATAATTAAAAAAATCCTACACCTTCTACGAGTATATGGAAATTTTTCCTTCTTGAACTTTTGAGAAGATATCAAAATGAAAACATATTGCAAATATTGAGAAATTATATAAACAACTTTAATGCAATTATTATTAATAGTTTTATTATACAATTTGAACAACGATAAATTCGCCCTTATCTTTTTATTTTATGTTTCGCGCCAAATATGAATTAATTACA